GTAAAATATTACATATCTAAAATTATAAAACAAAGTATTAGATGCAACATTTCTTTTTACTGGCCTTCAGATAAAGAAGTGTGTTGTTGGACTAAACTGGGCACAACTATACTTAGATATAAACAATGTCTCTTTCAGGTCCCGATTTTCTCATTCAACCTTCAAAAGTCATATCTAGTCCTCCCAGCGATCTCAATCCATCCACAATCTCGGTGAGTCTTCTGTTTCCCTTTATGTTCTTTGCAGTTACAAGCCCCCATTCTGTTGATCTTATTGGGATGCTGCCACAGGCCTCCCAGTATTTCTGTGTGCCAAATCCAGAAAGCTTTTGCCAAACTGTCTTGCTCAGAGCACTGACAAAGTTGCATTAATGCTTTGTGGGTTTTCATAAGAATCAACAATACAAGCATGTATGGAGTGTGTGTGAATATGTGTGTGTGTGTGTGTGTGTGTGTAGTACTGTGGCATTTAATTGAATACCTGTGACTAGTTCCCTCAGAAAACTGCTTGCTCTTGCTAGGTGACACAATGCCTGACTGTCAGGATGTCATCTGGAGTCTCATAAAGGACCAACCAACAGTACCTGTGCAATGTATGAGCTATTGCTTCTTTTTCTAAGCTGTTGCTGTGAATTGCATTTTCTTTTCAGTTCTTCCACCTATGTGATTAAATGTTCTGAGACTGAGCAATTTATAAAGGGGCTTTAGTCATCTGCCTGCTCCAGGTTAGGAGTACTTCAAGTGGTCATACTGTCTAAATGATTTATTTCTTTCCACTTGTTTTACTTTATTCTCTCTATACATTTCAGGGAAAGTATATTTGCTTGGGTTGCATTTTCCAGGGAAGTGCTTTAGTCTCCCAACAAACCACTATTTTATACTTTAGATATCTATTTGTTAAAAGCTTCAATAAACATCAAAAATTTTAGAGAAGTGATATTTAGGAAAACTGCTTAGCAACACTAGATAGGCAGAGATATGAGAATAGTTATCATAACATTTTCTAAGTGGCACAAGTTGGGCACAAGGCTTGCCAATGTAACATCTGTTGGCCAACTCATTGTGCATCTACTCACAGGAGTATGAGGTGCGTGGTAGAAGTAGCATCCTTTCTATGCCATCCCCTGTGATGATTTTACCACTGTCTTTGGCCTCATGCTTCTTTATGTTTGTGAGGGGGTGAATCTGAAGCTTTGTTCTGAGTATGACACTCAATAAATGTGACCTCAAATTCTGACTTACCCAGTAAAGAAGAGCAGCCACACAATTCTGCCTTCTGCAGCTAGCACATAGGGGTTTTTTTTGTTTGCTTCTTTTTCATTTATCCTGTGTAAGGATCTCTCTCAAGATGGTGAAGAATGTAGTGGGGCTAAGTACAGAATTGCCTGCCACTCTTTACTCAATATTTTCATGGCATTCTAATTTCTCAAACATGTAGAAGATTGTGAAGATATGTAGGAATGTGGACTTGAGGAAGTTCTTTACTTTCTGTGGGTATAGAAGTCACAGAATTGGTTGTGTAAAAATCAGGCTGCAAACATGACCACAAATTTGGTGCATAGCTTTGTCTTGCATTACCAGGCTGCCGTACTCATAGAAACAATCTCCCCATGAGATAGAACAGGCTCATCTGTAATGTTAGTTCCACAACAGGCACTTGAGTGACTGTAACTTTCATATTCTAAGTATCAAGTAGCTAGTGATGCTGATTGAATGCCCTGGGTTCTGGGTTATTTTTTTTCTGACTTGAATTGCACCTGAATTTGTGATTGATGTAAAACTTTGTCTACGGTAAGTGTACTTCAGGAGACACACATTACTTTAGAACTGACTTTCAGAATATTAAAAAAAAAATAAGAGAAATGCAGGTATCTTAAACAGTACAGAAAACAATTCTTGATCCCCAAATATGCACCTGAAATGATCTCTATGCCTCTGAGGTGTCTAAGTGCAAGAGGAGGAATATGCTAGTTGTTACCAAATGAGAGAGGTTAACTATGGATTTCATCAGAAAAAGAATTTTATATGTGCACAGGACGCTCGGGCAGCAGAGCATTATTGTCAAGCTGGTGCTGAAAAAGAGGTGTGACACCATCCAGGATGCTGATCCTGTTTGGTGCTGATAATGAATGTTCTCAGGGACTTGGATAATCTCAGTCATCCTCCATGAAGTCTGTGATGTAGTTGGGGATTGAAGAAAAAAACCCAGCATAATAAATGAGAGGGCATACAGAATAGAACAGGGCATGGGAAAACCTGGACTTAGTGCCTAAGCTCTGGCTGGAAACCCAGAGAAAGTGAGGTTAAAAATGATAACATTAAGGAAGACAGTAAGTGTGTAAGCAGGAAAGCTGTGGATCAGGAGTCAAAGGTGCACTAAATGAATGGGATTGTAGCTCTAGGGATGAAATAAAATAAATGAGACAAACTACTTTTTTAATTATAAAAACACAAAACAAAAGAATAAAAACAATACAGAATATCAAAAAATAGTGGGAAATTGGGCTGGAGGTTTAGCTCAGCGGCATAAGCGCCTTCCTTGTAAGCAGGCAGTCATGAGTTTGATCCCCGGTACCGATAAAAAGGAAAAAGACGAAAAAAAAAAAAAAAAAAAAAAAAAAACAAAAAAAAAAACACTTTTGGGGCTGGGGATTTAGCTCAGCGGCATAAGCACCTGCCTTGCAAGCAGGCGGTCGTGAGTTCGATCTCTGGTACCGATAAAAACGAAAAAGACAAAAAAAAAAAAATAGTGGGAAATTAACACTAGTTAATAAATTGCATATTGTTATCTTAAAAATGTTCAGATTGTTAGAACTATGTGTGAATTCAATACAAAATAGTTTGTCTCTTAAATACTGAAAGGGTAAATAGGATATAAACTACTTTGTATTGAATTCACAGACAGTTCTAGTGGACCTGGGGCTCAATGATTTTGTTTCTTGACTATTATCATCCCATACTAATTTTAGAAGGGTTATGTGAGGAAAACAAATGGAGGGCCCAGAAACCAAAAAAAAAAAAAAAAAGTGACAATCTCTTAGGCTATGATATTGAACAATACATAATTAAGCAGGAAGCCCTGATGTGAGGATCCAGGCCTTGGGGAGAAAGATGGACTGATGTAGATGAGGCTCTGAGGATCAAGAAATCCAGGAGTCAGGCTCTTGGGTCAGTAGAGGGACCAGAGTTAGAGTGCAAGAAGCGCAAGACTGTCAGGGTTGAAAACCTCTTCTCAATTTGCAATGGAAAACTGTATAATCCTGTATAAAGGATAATGGATTCTCCTTTCTAAATATATAATTATAATGCATAAAAATACATTCATCTTAGGAAAGAATATATGTTAAATTTAAATCCTTTTTTATTTATCCATTTCCCCAGAGTCTGCATCCTTTTTTCCTATTATCTTTCTTCCATTTTGCTCATTAAATTATTTATACTTTGGGTTTCTCATTTATGAGAGACCATGTAATAGTTAATCTTCTGTGTCTGGTTTATTTCATTTAGCAGCATAGTCTCAAGATAGATCTATTTTTCCACAAATAACTAAAATTTATCTATTGTAATATATGATGAATATTCCACTGAATATATGTACAATGTTTTCTTTGTCCATTCATCTATAGATGAGGATATAGACCACTTATAGATGGGCATGTAGACCACTTCCAATACTTAGCTTTTATAAGTTATGCTACAGATATAGGTCTGCATGTATCAGTGCAACATGATATTTTAAACTTATTTTTCAGGACACATAAAAAATATAGCTCCAAATTTATATTTTTAACTTTCTGAGAAACTTCCCCCATGCTAATGTCCATAGTGATTGTACTATTTTACCTTCTTATCAGCATTGCAGAAGTGTCCCCTCCTCCTACAGTCTTTCCAGTGTTTATTAATTGTTGCTTTGTTTTGTTTCAGGAGCAAGATGCAATTTACTGTTTTGATTTGCATTTCCCTAATGACCAAAGACACATGGATTTTTTCATGTATATACTCATTATCTGTACTTCTTTTGAGAAGCGTCTATTCAATTATCCATTTTTGATTGGCTCTTTTATTTTGGGGAGTCTGATATTTTAATTTCTTAAATATCAGTGCTATGTCTGAGGAATAGTTGGAAATTTTTCCCATTCTATAAGTAATCTCTTCACTCTTTTGGTTGTTTGTTTTGCTGTATAAAAGCTTTTTAATTTGATGTAAATCCAATTTGTTGATTGTTGTATTATTTCTTGCACAATCATGATTCTGTTTAAAAAATCCTTGCTTATACTTATATCTTCAAGAATTTTACCTATTTTATCTTCCAAAAGATTTAGTGTTTTTGTTTTAACATCTGTGCTTTTCATTGTTTTGATTTATATTTAGCGCATGCTGAACAACATGGCTCAAGATTCACTCTTCTACTGAGGATAACCAGTTTCCCCAGCACCATTTGTTAAATTGTGTTGCTGTCTTAAAGAAATGGCTACAAGATAATATAGAGGAACAAAAATAAAGATCATGACCAGTAATATAAGACCAAAGACATCCAGAAAGAATGTGCATTGTCTTGGCAATTGAAAGGTATCTTATTTCCTCATTGTACAACTCTATATTGTTTAAATTTCTATATGGTGGACTGGGGACATAGTTCAGCAGCATAAGTGCCTGCCTGACAGATGCAGGGTACTAAGTTTGATTTCCAGTACCAAAACAAATAAACAAATAAATAAATTGCCATATGGTTACAAGAAATGTGCAGAAAAATTTAAATCTTAATTTGGGATGATTTAAATAAAGAATTAAATTCAAAAAATATCTATAGTTCTTAGAGGTCCACAACAGGATAGAGGTTATTGGCTCTAGAGTAATGATCATTTTAAGCAAAGAGATTATAAGGCCTACAGACAAATTACTGTGTATACACTTACCAATACTTACAAATTTATACTGCCTAGTCAAACAGTGGAGCAAGAATAAAATTTAATATAATTTGATTAAAAGATGAGTCATACAACCATGAGCAATCAGACTCTGGAGACAGAATTCATCCTGTGGGGCTTCTCGGAAAAGTCACTCCACAGGATTCTCCTCTTTATTCTCTTTTTCTCCTTGTACATGGTGGCACTCTGTGGCAATTCCCTCATCATGGCAGTTGTCACCTTCAGCTCTAGACTCCACACTCCCTTGTACTTTTTTCTGGCCAACTTAGCTGTATTGGACGTTGTTTGTGCATGTACTGTTATACCCAAGCTTCTGGAGACCCTGGTGGCTAAAGGGACAGGGATCTCCTACAGGGCCTGCATGACCCAAATGTACTTCTTGACGTGGTCTGTAGCAGCAGAACTCTTACTCTTTACAGCTATGGCTTATGATCGCTATGTGGCCATCTGCCAGCCTTTGCACTATAGCTACATGATGAGCCCCATGGTGTGTGCAACACTAGCTGGAACCACATGGGGAGTCAGCATGTTTGGTGCGGGAGTTAATACTTGTATGATGTTAAGGTTAGCTTTCTGTGGACCCAACGTGCTCAATCACTTCATCTGTGAGATTCCCCCTCTGCTGCTGCTTTCCTGTTCTTCCACATTTGTGAATGATGTCATGACAATCATAGCTGACATATTCTTTGCTGATGTGAACTTCTTACTTACCATGGTGTCCTATGGTTTCATCATTGAAACCATACTAAAGATTCGCACAATGGAGGGGAAGCGGCGTGCCTTCTCTACCTGTTCTTCCCATCTTATAGTGGTCACCATGTACTACTCCACTGTTATCTATGCCTATCTGAGTCCAAACTCCAGCTATTCCCCAGAGATTGGGAAGGTTCTGGCAGTACTGTATTCCATTGTGAGTCCTGCTTTGAACCCTCTTATCTACACCTTCAGGAATAAGGATGTCAAAGTAGCCCTCAAGAAAATGGTGTCACTCATGATAGAAAAACTGTAAACTGACAGTCTTCAAAGTTTGTTCTTTTTGTTGCACTCTGACTACTGTGCTACCTGTTAACATGCCCCTTTTCTATAGAGCTGCCAGTAACATTATTAATCTAATTTGCTAAAAGAAATATCCCTTCCTTTGTTCTTCAAAAATGTTTTAAACAAGATGTCCTCTTTTCTACTCTGTTCTGGAAAGTTTGTGTTTCCTGGAAAGCACCAAATGCCACAGATACATTGACCAATTGCAGTATCTTGGGATTACACAGCAGTCTCATCTACCTATAGTCTGCCAACTGATGGGAGCCATCTCAGTTCCATCAACTGTGTGCTTATAAATTTCTGCTTAGATCAAATGGATCTTTATCCCATATTTCAGAAAAAGGCGCTCCATCCCATTCAAGGACTATTTGAAAATCCTGGATCTGATATATGTGAGAAACGTTACAGCTTCAGCAAGACTACCCCTTAAATTCTTTGCAGTGTTCCTTCTGTGTGTAATGCTTTTACCTAGATAATTCACTATCATTTAGCATCTCAGCTGCATGATAAATCTTAAGCTAATTCTACTTAACCAGACTGTGATGTCTCTGTTGTAACCTGCTTTCTTGATACTATTTTTGCTTAATCACATAGCTGTTACTTGATTGTCTCTTGTACTGGGCTTAGTGAGGAGAAAGGCTATGCTTTTTATTCTTTATGGATGAGTAATATTTCATTATATAAAATACTACATCTTTTTTATCTTTCCTCAGTTGATGGGCATTTGGATTGTTTTCAAGATTTAGCTATTACAAATTGTGCTGATATAAACATGGGAGCACACATATAACTCTGGTGCAATGTTTTCCATTCTTCTGGGAAAATACTCCCATTCTTCTGGGATGAATGGAACCTAACTCTAGTGTTTTGAGGCATCTTTGCACTAATTTCCACAGTGGTTGTGCCAGATAAATGCAAAAACCTTCAACAAGATACTTGCAAACAGAACAAATCATCAAAAACATCATCTATCATGACTAAAATGGCTTTATTCCAGAGATGCAAGGATGGTCCAATACCCATAAGTCAAAGTATATCAACAAAAGCAAAGATGGAGGCCACATGACCAATTACAAACATAAAACTCATGAAAAAATCCAACACCCATTCATGATAAAATCTTATAAAAATAATTATAGAAAAACTGTATCTCAAATTGATAAATCAATTATGATAAACTTTCTACCAACATCACACTAAGTAGGGAAAAATTGAAATCTCCCTTTAAATCATGAATAAGACAGAGGTGGCTACTGTCACCACTCTAGTACAGTGCTCAAAAATTTCACCACAGCAATCAAAAGAGGAAAAAAGTAAAAGTGATACAAAAAGGAAGAATTAGTTATTCTTATTCTCAAGTGTCATGGTATTTTACATAGAAGATCCAAAATAGTCCATCAAATGTCAGTAGAATAAATAGTATAAGAAAAGTAGTTGAACAAAAAATAAATATATAAAAATTAATAGCACTTCTATACAACAAAAATGAAACATCCAAGAAATAATATGAGAAAACTATCACACTCACAATAGGCTCATAAAAACTAAATCCTAGGAATTAACCTAACCAAAGAAGTAAAAGACCTCTATTTAAAAAAGCTATTGTACTCTGAAAAGCAACAGAGAACTGTGGAGATTTATCAAAAAAAAAATGAAAAACAAATCTAGGATTAGAAGTCCCATTCAATCTAGCTATTCCCTCCTGAGTATTTTCCCAGAAAAATTGAAAACATCATACAATAGCTCCATATGTGCATCCATGTTTATTGCAGCACAATTTTTAATAGTTGATTCTGAAAACAACACAAATGCCCATCAACCACTGAATGGATAAAAAAGATGTATTTTTATACAATCAAGCCATAAAGAAGGGTAAACTTGAGACTTTTATAGGTAAATGGATGCAGCTTGAGACCATACTTGTATGTAAAATAAATCAGACTCGCCTGTGTAAACATTGTATTGTTTCCCTAGTACAAAAAACTGAAAGAGTAAATAAGACCCAAAAGTACAATAGATATTGAGAAAGTGAAAGGGGAAGAAACTGCTCAAATTGATCCATCAATATAGACACATACCTTTATTTCCAATGAACTATTATCAGTTAGTGGTATAACTATCTTCATTGTTATATGTATCTATATATAGATATGTCTAACTGTAATATAAAATAATATCATATATAAAGTATTTTTCCTTCCTTATTTTCTCCTTTACCCCATCCCAGTTTCTCTTTACTTTTGAGAAGCTTCCTTCCACTTCACAATATCTATTGCACATTCTAGATCCTATTTATTTTGTCAGCTTCTTACACTAGAAAGACAATATAGTGTTTATACATGTGAATCTGATTTACTCCACTTACGAGTATGGTCTCAAGATGCATCCATTTACCTATAAATGTCTCAAGTTTATCCTTCTTTATATCTGAGTAGTACTCCATTGTATAAAAAAACACATTATTTTTATCCATTTCATGGTTGACAGAGATTTAGGTTATTTATAAGTTTTACCTATTTCAAATTGTGCTACTTGTAAACATGGGTACACATGTTTTTAACTGTGGTATGATGTTTTTAACTCGTGGCAAAATACTCTGACAGGGCATATCTGGATTGAATTGGACCACTAATCCTAGTTTTTTGAGGAATCTACATACTGATTTCCATAGTGACTGCACAAGTCTATATTCCCACCAACAGCAGAGAAGGGTTCCTTTTCCCTTAAAGCATCTCCAGCATTTGTTATTAGTTGATTTCTGGGTGATAGCCATTATTACTGGGGTAAGATGGAAGCTCAGGCTTGTTTTAATTTGCATCAGTTGGATGACAAATGATGCCAGACATTTTTTCATGTATTTATTTGCCACTCATATTTGTTTTTTAAATTGTTTTATTTAGAGAAAGATAAAACAGAATAGAAAGTGGGCAGAAACAGTATATACTTTCAAAGAAAAGAAACAGTTATAAATCTCTAATTGATGTATACATATTGCTCCCCCCAAATAATTGTTCAAGATACAAAAGTAGAACAAATAAATGGGAATTCAACCAGGGAGACTGAAAACCATTCTGTTTAACTATCCAATAAAAACTAAGTAATATGAGTATCAATCCTATACACTTAGACATGTACGCATTTATCCATATCTTCATTTATGCTCAGAGCTAACAAAATTTGTTAGATTAAAATCCTTCTGAACAAAGATTAATAATATTGCTGGATTTCACATCATAACACTCTGGAATCAGCACTGGGTACTGCAGTTCCCCTTTATTTCCTTCAAAGTGTTTGTTCATTTCATCATGTGCCATAAGATCAGTTCTCATAAACTATTAATAGGTTTTACGCAAGCACGAGTCTTAACATTCATTTCTATCATTTCTATATTAGAGGGAGAAACAGAACAAAGCAGGACAGAACTATACATGTTCCTATAGACCCATAAAACTAAAAAGACATATAAATCTGCTGTATAAGGAGTTGTACCATGTTTACTATGCTGTTTCTTGTTATCATCAACCGAATTGGCTATATCATCAGATAAAGTATAATTGAACATATCAGTATATAACAGAATTAACAGAAATACAGCTTTATAGATAATGTAAAGCTACAAAAACAAGTAGTGATCAAATCAGAATGGATATCATGGTGAATCATTGTCATTTTCAGTATAGTGGTCTATACTCCTCAACTTGATATCAGCAACCTAAAAGTTTTGAATAAAATCTGCCAATAATAAGCAATATTCAAACAAGTCAGATTTAACTAAGATCAGTCATGATACAACATTATAAGTCATACAGGGATCCTGATGGAGTTAATAGGAAATTAAAGATGACCACTGTGCTGTGTCCTGATATCTTCGAGTCAACTGTTTGTGCCCTCAGATCCAGTACTTGTATACAAACTAGGATGGAACAAGTTCCAACCAAGCAGAGTGGTGTGAGTAATAAGGGTTTTAATTCCTGATACACTATTAGGTATATCTTCTGCTGCTTTTTTTAAGACTATTCCTCCCCTTTACTCCCACAGAATGAACTATGCATTTGTGGGTCTCCCCATCACTCACGGTTTTATATTGTGAGGGGCAACCTGCTATTTACCTAAGTATTTCTGTACTTTCTCACTCCTGGGTTGGATTTCTAGTTATATTTCTTCATTTATTAAAGCCTATCCATAAATACTGGCCCAGTTACTCGTATTACTCTCTGGTTTCCTATCACTTCGAGTTCCATTTTCTCATATTTGATTTTGGTCTGTATAACCTTCTTCAGGATAATTATATTTCCTATAAAGAGTCTCTTGGAAGACCCTACCTCTTGATCCACTCTGTCTGCGATTCTTAGTTTTTCCCCTTAAGTTAGAGTATTTAGGCCATCTATATTAGAAATTATATCCAGCCTTCTCTGCCTCATTTCTGTTGTGCTCTTTTTCTGTCATTAGTTGTCTGTTTGTCTTTTTTATTTTGCTTTCTGCTTCATTCATTGTGGTGTCTCTGCCATTGTTTCTGGTATCTTGGTACTTTTCTCTCTCTTTAGAATGTCTTGCAGTATTTTCTGTAGAGTTGGATTGGTGGTTTCAAATTCCCCCAGTTCCTCTTTATCTTGAAAGCAGCTTGTTTCTCCACTAATTTCTAGGGACAATTGTGCAGGATAGGTCAATCTTGGCTGGAGGTTATTGTCTTGGATTATTTCTCCCCACACTCTTCAAGATTTGATGGTTTGTGCTGAAAAGTCTGCTATAATTCTGATGGATGTTCCCTTGTAAGTGATCTGTTTCTTGTTTCTTACAGCTTTTAATATTCTGTTCTTATACTGGATTTCTGGAATCTTGATTATTATATGCCTGAGTGTAGTTCTGTTTTGATTGTAGGTGACTGGAGTACTGTATGCCTCATACATCTGAGCATCTTTCCCTTTTCCTATGTTTGGGAAATTTTCCCTCATTATTTCTGTGAATAGCCTT